CCTCAGCTCCCGCAGAACGCGCTCATAGCCCGCGGTTCGCAGCCTGAGCGTGTGCGGACGGCTGCACTGCGCCAGTCGGCAAGCGAATTGTGCGCAGAGCATTGGTCTCTGCGAATTGTTCTCAGAGCATTGGTCTCTGCGAGCGAGTCATGAACTGTGAGAGCATTGGTCTCTCTATGAGCGAGTCTTGAATTTCATTTAAGGTAAAGTTCGATTAAAGTTGTACTTTTTGGTTTTGTCACATCTGTGCTCTGAAAGAGAATGCCAAAGGGAAATGCAGGTTGTGAATAATGCCATGTCTTGGGGTGCAGCAGTTCAGTGGCATGTACAGCTGAGTGAATAAGCAATATATGGTCTACTGATTGGGCTTCTTTCCTAAATATACTAGTCTGTTCATTTTTTTCCCCCTCGTGATTACTTAAACTGCTTAAAGGTGAATGAGTTCTGTTCAAGTTTCAGCGGGTTGTTATGATCTGGTTATTAAAGTTAATAAGGAGATGCTTCTGAATTAAGGTGCAAATGAGACCATAAGCCAAAGTAAATAGTCTGGATTTTAAGTAACAGTAAATGTGAAGAGAGAAAGAAATAGAAAAGGTGGGGATGGAGAGGGGGATTGGGAAGGGAGGGAGAAAGACAGTGATAGAGACAGATTAAGCAGAAAATATCACCCTTTCGTGGATCCCACTGGCATACCATTATAAATCCTCTTCTGGTCTTTTCTGTGGTGAGGTCTCGCAAAACATAAGACTCCAATGGATTAATACAGACTTGGGCAAGGTGGCACTGGCCTGCTACCTCCCTAGGATGGGACAAGTTTGACTGTCTCTTGCTACTTTCAATTAATAGAAAATCTTTAGCACCACTACATCCTTTGAGTCTGCCATGAATTGGGTTCTGTATTTTCAGATCTGTTGTGTTACTTTGCATCCCATGCAGTCATCTGGTTCAAGGCCTCAGGCATGGGTCTGGGGGCACTTTGATGGGTTATGACACCTCCTCAGCTGCCCCTCATGGGAATCCCCTGGATGGGGCCTTCTGGGCTGGGCAGTTTTAGAGCTGAGCCAGTTTGTGGGAGGGAGGATGGGTGTCCACTGCCTATTACCAGAGGTTATGCCATACCCCCAAAATTTCCTCCTTCTCCCTCTGTTGATGGGAGGTTTGTGTGCAAAGCTGGCCTCAGCAGATGAGTCTGTGGCTATGACTTCCCCATCCTGAACCCAGACAGGGCTGATTTTCAGGACAGTTGCTGAGTTTGGCATTGTTGTGGATACATTTTTTCTCTGTCAGCTTTGTTTACTTCTCCCCAGACCTGACATAATAAGACAATAGTGTCAATGTTGTCTTGGCTTAAGTTCCCTTAGGTGGCTTAATTCACAGTCCAAAGTTCCAGTCAGGAGGCATTTTCAGGGAGGGGTGAGCTTTGGTGGTCGCAGTTTCTTTATACAGTTTTGTCACATAAAGTAAAAAGTCTTTTATAACATATTTAAGCCGTTAATTATAACATTTCAGTCTCTCACAAGACCTGTGAGGAGCTGCTGAGAGAGTAGAGGTTGTTTAGCCTAAAGAAGAGGAGGTCAACTCAAGCTATTTTAAAGTAATATTTAAACTACAGCTTTGTCTGTTCTAACTATTATTAATGTTCAGATTTTTAGCTCCGGGTTTCAGTATGATCCATCTTTGAATTGCACAGCATTGCCATATAGTTAAAATAAAGTCCAACTAGAGGCCTAACAATACTAGCTACTTATGCCAAACAAGCACTTAGCTACTTTTAAATAATATAAAATTATTAGCACCAGTCTATCCCTTGAGTCTGCCATGAATTGGGTTCTGGATTTTCAGAGTTCCATTGTTGCTCCTTCCAGTTATATTGAGGTATTGTCACTCATCTGTGACATCCTCCCTCCAAAATGGCTTCTGGATACTCGAAACAGACATCCACACCTCGTATTTTGTCCAGGGAAAGGCTGAAGTCTATTACTGTAAGTACCCACTGGGGCCGTGTTAAGGCTGGAAACTCCCCTCGTGTCCCTCCTCTCCCTGCCCTGCCTGTTGTCCAGCAGCACTGTGAAGCTGCAGACCCCTCCCCACCTCTTTGTGCCGTTCTCCTGTGGGTGGGGGCTGTCCTGGTGCACTAGGGAACACCGTGTGCTGCTTCAGGGACACTCCAGCATCTTGCCTGGCTGTGCCACCGGAGCCAAGGTAAACCAATGTACAGCTGAAGCCCTCAGCATGTGCTTCTCTCCCTTTCCCTTTGTCACAGTAATTCCTCCTGTCAGGCTGGACACTCACCTGTGCTGCTCTGACCAACCTGCCCTTGGGCGTGTGACGTGGGGGGGAAGCTCAAACTCTGCCCAAAGACTTGAGAGACAAGGCTGGTCCCAGCTAGAAGAGGTTCCAAACCAGCTGCTCTCTCTCATCTCCTGTGTGGGGCACAGATCCAGCCCTGCAGACAGCAGTGGAGTCAGGGCCACAAAGGTTCCCTGGCTGGCTGCAGCTCACTTGACTGAAGATGCCCCACTGCTGAGGCTCTGTCAAGGAAATCCCTTTGGTTTCTTCTGTGGAGGGGTCTGTGAGCCAAGAAGGAGAACACAAATGCTAATTAACAGAGAGAACTAAAACTTGGACACCTTCCTGTGCACCTCACTCTTGGGCCAACTTTGCTTTCTTGCATCTCTTGGACTCTCTCAGCAGTGCTCTCTCCTCGCTGTGAGTTTTGAGTGTTGTGCAGGGATGGAGTTAGGGGAGTTGTGAGAGCTCCTCCCCACTCTCTGAGAAGGTCACTGCCTCAATCCAATGAAACTAAAGAGGGATCAAATGCCTGAAGAGCAGAAATCCCCAAGCATATGACATCAAACCATGGAGAAGCTAATGGGACAGAGCCATGTGGTTGGGGTTTGTGCATTGCACTCTGTATTATTAATTTTCTGATGCTAAGTATTTCAGCAGGTAACTTCCAGGCCTTCCAGAACTGTCATAGATGATGAAATCACAAATTGTTCATCAGTAGCAAGTGACCAAGAAAAGCCTCGATGAACAAGGGCATTTCTGAGGCTCTAGCTGGGTTTTTTTTGCCTTTCAGCTGAACACTTCTGCCTTCCTAAAGGAGACGTTTCTCAACCGGAAGAAGCGGGACAGCACTAGGGGTAGTTTTCTGCCCAGAATTTACCCAGATGTGAGTAAGACTGGTCAAAAATAGCCTTTTCCTCCTCGTTTTCTTTCTGTTTGATGTGAAGTTTGAAGAGAGTGTGTGCTTGTGACAGGCTTGCCTCCAGCAAAATACCTCAGTGTCTAGGTCCTGTTGTCACTGCAAACTGCTGGTGGTGGTGGACTTCAAGTCGTGATCTGCATTAAGCCAACACAAATAACCTCTGCTGAAGCTGCTGGGGTTTCCTGGAGTGTTGCTGCAATTGCTAAAACAATGGGGGGAAGGCTGGGGACACAAAGATAGGGACACTAAATTGCCATTTGCCTTCTCCTGCTGAAATAGCCACCTCTTGCTTTGGTGTGGTCACCATCAAGAGCTTGGGGTCATAGGATTCCCTCCAGAGTGGCAGCATTGGCCTTTGAAGGCCGAGGACCTGCAGTAATTCCTTCAGATTTAACAAAACTAATTGCATTAACGCCTTGGGTTGGAACAATGTGTAGGGACTCTGATGGGATGTTAGATTTTGCAGGCTGCCAGATGTACAGGGGATTTGCCCTGGGCAGAGGGGAATGGATGTGCTTTATCTGGATCAGTGCCTACTTAGAGGTGTGTCTAAAGCTGCTTTTCTTGCAGGACTGGCTCAGTATAAAGCACAGACGAAATGGGTAGGTGACCGAGGTGGGCTGTTGAGCAGGAAATTGGCAGTAAGAGACATGTAACAAACTGGTTAAGGATTGCCCTGGAGAGGGGCCTTAGGAACACCTCAGAGAGGGGCACAACTGAGGGACAAGCGTGCTGCAGCCACTCCCTTCAGCAGACTGAGTCTCCTGTGAAGTCACACAAGAGACCTGCCTGTGTCTCTGGACTGACAGCAGTGTGGCTGCAGAAAGCGGACAAAGCAGGGGAGAGTTTTCTCAAAGCAATGTCTGCTCCAGAAGCATTTGCTGTTGTTGTATCATTCCAGACGTGCCTCCTCAATGGTATTAAAAGATAGCAATACTAGGTTACAAGAAAGCACCCATTTAAAGCTCATGGAAAAAGGAGATATCAACTCTACTCTTACCCAAGTTGCTGAGAAAAGAACTGAACCTCATTCAGCATTCACCTTATTTGTCTTTTTCCCAACTTCTGTGTTACTTTATTTTTGCCTTTACCTCTCTTAGAAATGCACTAACTCTTGAATACAATTAAAGGGGACAAAATCATAGAAGCAAAAGAAAACTGTTTATTAGTAATGATTCAGCTGAGCTGGGTGTGTCTCCATCCCCCTCGAGACAAACAAACATACCCTCCAAGAAAATGGCAATGGTTCTATTATAACCCTATATACCCGGCCGGGGTGGTCACTGTCCCCTTTGCCATTGGATGGTACTGGGGAACTCACGGTCCAACTCCAGCTTTTCTGTCCCCTCCCCTCTCATCCCACTTCCTTTTGGTCAGGCCTTCAAGCCCTTACCTCTCCTAGTTCACAGCAACAACCAACAAACCAACCCAAACAAATCCAAACAACAACACAGAGAACCAACAACTTTCATTCTTTCACTTAATAACCTTTTGGCTTCAGCAAAATTTCACCTCATCTTTCACACCTCCTCTGGTACTGTTCTCTTTTTACTGATGTCTAAGTTCTAGATCAAAAAAGATATTTGCAGTTACATGGGCTTTGGTTTCCCTGTCTCGGAGTAAAGGACATCCCAAAATTGTTTCCAGTGGAGTCTGATGTAAATTCATGGGTTTTACTTACTCCATGAGTGCTCAGTCAGTGCCCCAGAGCAATGTGACCACATGGGCACAGAGCTGTGCTTAAGGTAAGTGCTGCCTGCCATTCTGGAGAGGAAACCTGCAGAAATACATGCCAAAAGAGCAGCTTGGCTTGAGCCTGCTCTGTGTGGCCCAGCAGCTCATGATCAGCTCAGAGCTGAGGTGGGTGAGCTACTGTTTCCCCAGTGTGGCCTGGGCAGACGTGCTCACCCAGAGTCTGTACTTCACTGGGTTCAGTGTAAAAGTCTCCTTCATCAACCTTCTTCCCAGCAGCTGAACCTCTCCCTGCTCTCTCTTGCCTCTCCAGTTGCCATCAGTTCCCCCGAAAAAGAGCTTGTTCCAGGTTTCTCCACCAGAGCTGGTATTTGAGAACTTCATCACTCATGAGGCCTCTGATATAATATTGTCTCTCATAAATAAGGACAAGGTAAGTGCTGGGATGTGGAGCTTTAACACTGTTCCCAGAGAGTGGTGTAATTCCCATAGTGTACAGTAAAGCAAGTTATCTGCTGCAGCACATCCAGAAGAAAATGTCTCAGCGCCTTTGTCCTGCAAGATGGTGGAAATCTTCCTGTACTGGGAATTTTGGCATACTTTGATGGTTGATTGTTGTGGTGGGCAACTGAAAATTTGAGACCATTTGAATTTCAGGAATGGAAACATTTTCTCAAATGAGGCTTGTGCCAAGAGTGGGCTTGTGGGAAGAGACAGGAGGGTCTCAAAATCATCTGGTTTAGACTTTTTGAGAGCATTTTGGTGCTCAGAGGTTGATATCTGTGTGCTAGAAAATGCATGTTTGCTGTGTCTGTATATCCCAGAGGGTAGAACGTGTCCTGCTGGCTGCAGGCAAGAATGCCCAGCTTGCCTGCCCAGGCAGCAAGAACCCCTGGAGAGCCAAGACTGGCTTTTGATACTGGAACCACACTGTGAGTCAGTGCTGGTCATGTTCCTCCAGGCAGAAAATGCCTTTGAAGCCCAGAGTCGATAGGTACAGCCTGTCTGTGTTTTTATCACTTTTGGCAAAGTGATTATTCTCATCGTTTTATAATCCTTCCTTGCTGTTTTATTGCTGTCTTTGTTTGAAAGACAGGTGTCTGCCAAGAAAGGCAGAAGCCTCTTTTTAAAATGGAGAATGTAAACCCCCTCCCTCCAAATTATAATAATTTTGAAATTAAGGGACTCTCAGGCAAGGATATGGGAATAAGAATAACAGTTCTTTACTAGGAAAATTAACATAGAAATACAGTATTACAGATAACAAACCCAAAACCACTGACAGAGTCAGAATACAACCTGACACCCTGTCAGTCAAGGTGTTGCTAGCAGTCCCATTAAATGGTGGCTGCAGTCTTCCTGGATGACAGATGTGGTTCAGTTCAAGCAGTGCTCCTGTAGAAGGGTGCAGTTTTCCTCCAAAGATCCAGTGATGATGTGGAAAGGTCTGGTTTTCCTCTGGAATCCAGTGGAAAAAGGCTGCCTTGGTGTCCCAAATCTCAGTTTTTATCTAGGTAGGAAAGGCTTGGCTCCTCCCCCTGGCTGGAGCATCTCCCAATGAGATGATGTAATTTTATCAGTCATTCAGTGGGAGTCAATAGGATGATGTAATTTTATCAGTCATTCAGTGGGACTCAGTGGGCCATTAACAGCTGGTATCTTCCTGGAGGAAGGATGGGTTGTGGAAAAGATAAAGCTGACTGCTCCCCCTGGTTTAATCAGATGGCTCATTAGCAGAGACTATCTCCTACAGAGATAAGGATCACTGCCCTGGCTGATTTCAGAAGATGGTGATAGAATACAGACTTTTGGTCACATCCCGTATTGCAACCTAAGACAATTGCCCATTTAAATTCACTTTGCCATCTCCTTGTTTTAGGGATTGTCTTGCTGTGTTCCTTCTTTTGCTTTTCAGGTTTGCTTTTATTCCCAGTAAGGCCACAGTGTTTGGTCTCCTCTCTTGCTGGTCTGCCTGCATGATTGCATCCCCAGAAGTGCCCTGCCCAAACCTGATCTGCTAGCAGGGAATTTCTTCCTTCCCCCAGGATAATGTGCTGTTTTGCTTTCAGGCAGCACATTCCCCTTTTGGAACACAATTGTATGGCTGTGTGCAGGCACAAGTCAGCAGGTTTTTTGGCCTTGTTGAATATGCAGATGACTTGGTTCAGGTGCTCTGTCTCCATCCTGCTGGTGCTGACCTGCTCGGCCCTTCCTTTCCACCAGGCATCGCCCTACTGCCCCTGGCCAAAATGCTGGGTGCAGACAGAAGGGATTCAAGTTGACCCCTGTGAATTATGTGCCTCTACCGCCACAGCTACAAGTGCTTTGGAAAAGGGGTCAAGAAAGGATGTCACCAGGGCACAGACAGGTCTCATCTCGTCCTATTTCCACAAGTGGCAAAATTGTTTTATGTCTTTCCTGCAGTTTAATCGGCTGGTGAAGGTCTCCATGGAGAGATCACCTCATTTTGAGCTGATGTGCCCCAATGATGTGTTCCACATCGTGCCACCAGGCACATCTTCCCATTTGCGCATCCGCTTCACCCCCGACGAGAAGAAGGTGAGACTGGAGGAGCCAAACCACAGAATTATCTCCAAAGCCATTGTTTTCCCTGCACTCTGGCAACGGCCCATTCCATGCTGTGGGCTTGGCTCCAGGCTGTGGGCAGGCAGCCTGCAGCCACTCACACCTTGGCATGTGGTGTCAGGCACTGCACCCACGCCTGACAGGCTCTGCCTCCCCTCCTTGCACATTGCTCAGCATTCCCGAGGGAAGATGAACGGGGAACAGTATGAAAATGACAGAGGGGTGTTGATGGATGTTTGGCCATCTCTAGGTACAGTGGAAAGGGTTTAGTTATTATGGAAAATACTAGAGGAACAAAGAGGTCAGAGAGCTTTCCTCCTTCCTGACTGGCAACTGCTTCCCTGCCTCACCCTGGGCTGGAGCAAAGACGGTGCTTTTGCACAGCCTCTGTTCTCCAGCCTTGCAGTTGTGCTGTCCCAGAGCCCAACTGACCACGACACAGCTGCAAGGCCAGGGCAGAGGATGTGCTGTGCCCGTGAGCCCAGCCTGGCACAGGCACACTGAGCTCTAGGGGCCCTTAGCCAGCAGGAGGTTGGTGAGCTGCAGGGGACTTGGCCACCTGCTTGAAAGAGCTCGTGTAGGGCAGGTACAACCTGCAGGCAGACCTGTGACCCCAGAGCCTGTGGCAGTGACACTGCTGTGGCTCTGTGTTCATGCCTGTCACTGTGGTTCCTCTGTCAACTGGCACCCATTCCATGCCAAACATGCTTTTGTGTGGAGTCTGATCTCAGTGCTGTGAGCCAGAGGGTCAATGCTGTGATCTGGAGGCTTGTTCCTGCAGAAGGGTTTAGGACATGGCATGGAAAGGAGGAGGGAAACAGAGAGGCTCTTTCCAACAGCATCCTGCTACCTCTTAGCACTGTTCTTTTCCTGACTTGGTTGGAGAGGCAAAGTTGGAGTGGAGTTCTGAGCCAAGCGATGTTTCTACAGAGGCCAGAGGTGCAGGAGCTCTTTGGGTACAGATGTTTTCTCATCTTCCTTTTGCCGCTTAGAGTCAGTTTAACACTTTGTCCTATTCTCCAACAGTGGGAATATAGAAACCTAAAGAGGAATGCCCTGTGTTCCGTAGCTCCATGTTCCTTAGAAGAGACTTAGGAAGTATTTAACATCATTAAAATTTAGAGTAAAAATTATGGTGGCCTAGGGCAGTTCTTTGTATGACCCAAGTGACACAAGAGCTTAATGCCACTGAGATAGGTTTTGCAAAGTGCACTGGTGCCTTTAAAATGTTACATATTAGTAGAACTTAGTGCTCATTTTGGAGTGGACTAGGTAAATTGATGCCCTTGAAGGGTTATGGGAAATGGGTTTTTTTTCTGCCATGGGGATGGCACTAAATGCCCTGTGCTGAGCTAGTTTCTTTTCCTGCAGAATTATTGCCACGAGCTCGTCTGCCTCACTGCAAGGGAACGGATAGTTGTGCCAATTCGGGCCATTGGTGCCCGAGACATCCTGGACTTCCCTGACCAGCTGGACTTCTCGGAGTGCCCGGTCAAGTACAGCACCCGGAAGACTCTGCTGGTTCGAAACCTTGGCAGCCGGGCAACTCATTACCAGCTGAGCACCCAGAGGTGAGGCAGCTCATCTGTCCTTGTGCAAAACCCCTTTGGAAGACAACAGAGCTGGTCAAGAGCAACAAAAGAACCAGAGCATTGTGGGGTTGCTGTTGCTTCTGGTGTTTTAGGCAGGATGCAGCCTTTGAGCTTTCTCTGTCCCAGATTTCCTGCAGGCTGCTGGAACATGTTAGTAGCTGGCTTGCACCTTCCTGGGCACAAGCAGTTTCTGAAATGGTTACTCCCCACTGTCAGCCAAACAGACCCATTCTCTGGGAGGCCACAGGCACGTGGCTTTCCAGTGGTCCCTGCATCACATGCCCAACATGAGCTATGTTTGGGCAGCCGGTGCAGGTCCTGGTACTTAAAGCTGATCTGATTTCCCTTGTCAGCTGAGGGCATCAGTCACCTCTTCTGTTCTATGATGAACACTTGAAAGCCAGTTTAAAATTTGAAACTGATGATTTAAATCTCTGAATAAGGTCGTGCCCCTTTTCATTGAGATTTCTTTTTAAATACTCTGAAGTTCCTGTGTTTCTGCTGCTTTTTCATTTTGGTTTGTGTTAAATGTTTGAATTCTTCATTGGGAGCTTTCATAAAGGACGAGCTCCTCTAATGCCTATCAATATACCACATGCCCATAGGTACATGCACAGGTGTATAGGAAATAGGAGACATTTAGTGAATATGTGAAAAGCAATTAGGCTTATTTAGAAGATAAAAGTAAAGAATAACTTTGGCTGGAGGGGACCTCTGGAAATCATCTGAGCAGACACACTGCTCAAAGCAAGACCAGTGTCTGGGGATTGCAAGGTGCCATTGGGAGATCTGGACCTGTCTTTAGATGCCATACAAGAAAACAAGCATGCAAATGGTCCTAGTTAAAAAGAGAAGAAAACCCATTCAACCTATTGAAACCCCCTCCATATCTCCATACCTTATCTTTTCTGCCTGTCAGGTGCAGTAGTGATTCATTAAAAGGGTAGATCTAACAGGATAAGAACTATCTTAAGGAACAGCTCACTGTTAACAGATAAAAGCCAACATTTTAATCTCGTTATTACAGTGTCAGGGATGTCTCCTTCACAGCCCTTCTATGTGTGGGCTCAGGGAACAACTTCGTGATGTTGGCTGAAATTCAGAGGAGTGAAGTTTAACTGTAGAGCTTGTGTGCTTGGGTCTTGGGGAGCCAGGTCTATGTGAGAGATGGCTGCTACAGCAGTAATAGAGGAGTCTGGTGGGTACAGCCCGGGGTGGGATGTAGAAGTTGCAGGGGCTGATTTGCACTCAGTTTTTCAGTCCTGACAATTGAGTCCTGAACTTGGCTGGATCCTCTTTTCCTGATAATTTGAAAATAAGAAAATATGTTCTTTCTCAGGCAACCCCTGAAGTCACCCCCAATATTGTTATTCCCATCCTGCCATCTGAGAGCAGGAGTACGTAACATGGGGCAGGAGTGGGAATGGAAGGGAATGGAATAGAATGGAGGGCTGAAGTGTGGCCAGAGATTCTCTTAGCTGACAGCTTCTCTGTTCTGGAAAAATTTCTGGCAAAAGAATAAGAAAAAAATCCTGTGCCTTGCCCACACCAAGCCCCAGCAGAGACCTGCAGCAGTCCTGGCATCACCCCTGGGGGCAATGCAGGAGCATGTACAGTAATCTGGCTCTGGGGCTGCTGGGGCTTTGTCTTTCTTGCCCTCTCTCCAAAGTCTCTCGTCCAGCACATAAACATTGCTGGCCCAAGACCTCTCCATCAGCCAATAGCAATGTTCTCACTAGTGGTAATGGGAACAGGTCAGGCCCATAACTGCAGCCATAGGTCCTTAATGAGCAGAACCTGAAGAAGTTCATCAGCTGTCACTACTGACATGAGTAAAGTTCAGCTTGCCAGATGTTCTCTTTATTTTTGCATGTGATGCATTCATCACCAAACTCCCAGAACACACTCTTAAGTGACAGATTGATCACCAGCAAATCACCAAGGCCAGGAACTTCTGTTTCCTCAGTGGGGCTGTAGAAGAACACCAAGCCCAGCAGCTGCTGGGCAGAAGCACATTTCACCTGAGCTGTCCCTGAGCATCAAAGCACAGAGTCTTGTGTTTGTCAGGCTCAAGAGCTCTTTACCTGGTGACCAATCCTAATTGCTCCTGCTAAATCCAAAGTGCACCAACACATTTACATAATTATTTCCAACACATTGCACAGAGTTTGTGTGGTGGGCCAAGCAAACAGTTACCAGCCTGGATGACAACCCAGAGTCCCAGACTGCATTGCTGGTAAATACGTAGAAACCTCCTGTTCTGCTTCTTTGATGTGCTCCTGCTAATGATGCTTCATTTAGCTGGGATTGGATCCTTCAGACTGTAAATGGCATCCTCCTTTTGGGTCTTGTTTCTATGTCGCTGTATTGCTCTAATCTGCATTTGCACTCTTTCAGAGTTTTGATTGCTCCTTTTCTTAGACCAGCTTTAATTGAAATGCTGATAAAATGTACTTTTTTTTTAGGCTAAATCAGGATGTCTTCAAGGTAAAATAAACCAAAGAATCACACTGCAAATTCAACAGTAACTATTCCTTGGTCTTCAAGGAAAGTTCCTTCTCCCTATCTGATTCCTAGGCTGTAATCTTACCAGACAGGTAGTGCCCTAACATTTGCATCTCTTGAGATGAAGTTTATAGGCAACAGGAAGAGAGAAATTCTTGAGGCAGTCCATGTCAAGTTGTGCATGCAGATAGCTCTTAACCCTCTCTGTGCTTTTCACAAACCATTCTCTGATGGGATTGCTGGCAGTCAGACCCTTGAGTCTCCTTGCAGAGGGCTGGATACAGAGTATGGGGGAGATGAGGTCGTTTTATCCCTGAGGGCTGGATCTCCTCACAAGTGGGTCAGTAGCTGTTTCTGATCCCGTCTGTTCTGTCTGTCTTCTGTTGACTGTCATCTGTTTGCTCCCCGCTTGCCCAAGTGAGCTGAAGTGACCTGCACTGCAGAAGGAGTACCATCCCCAGATGTCCCCCTGAGTCCTGATCCCTGTCTTTGTGTTGCAGTCCTTTCTCCGTGGTTCCAGCCAGGGGAACTCTGGGCGCCGGTGACACCATGCAGGTGACAGTGGAATTTCACCCCATGACTACTGGTGACCATTCCGGGTTCCTGGAAGTGTGCTGCAACACAGGTGAGTGCTGGGCCCTGCACAGGGCACAGGACAGTTCTCCACATCACTCCCTGTTGTCCCATCCCCCTCAATTCCCTCTAGGTGTACCCCCCCGTTACAGCTTTACCCCAAAGAAAACTGAAAACTCATTGGTGTTTAGGGGGTTCATAAAGAGGATCCCCTCTAATAGGGCTAAGATTTTTGTAAGCTTATTTTGCTGGGAGTTGCTGAGTGGAGGAAGGAGGAACCTTGATTCTCCACTATCGTGTGGCTATGCCTGGGAGAAGTTTGATTTTATTGCTGAGCAGTGCTGTATGTGAGGTGTGAGGTCTCCAGCAGACCCTCTCCAATGCAATGTATTTCTTGCACACCTCTGTCCCATATGCTGCTTCTCCATTGGCTTGTCACAGTTTTTCTATATTGCCCTCTACTCATATATGTAGTTTCTGTCTAATAACATTTCCAAGCCCTCAAGTTCCTGTTTGGTGACAAATCAATTTTTTTTCTCTTCCCCATTTGCCAGGCCATTCATGCTGTTGCAAACCTCTCATATCTATCTCCCATTTGATTTCTAGACTGAGGAATCCCATTCAATCTTCATATAGAAGCTGCTCTGTACTTATTAATCTTTCCTTTTGTCCCTTTTTTATTTAATTTTAAATGCTCCAGCTTGATTTTTGAGATCAGAACAATATAAAGTATTTCAAGACTGATGTGGCTGTGGGTTTGGACGGGGAGATGATGATGATTTTCATGGTGTTCATTTTGTAGTGGTTTGTCACATTGCAGAGCCGGGCTGGTTGTGTTTCCTTGCCCGTGTCCCCTCCTTCGGTGGGCTGTCACTTCACTTGTTCCTCTGGGCCTCTTTTTTCTGCCCACATGCCCCCAGGCATATTTGCTTGTCAGCAACAAAGGATCCAAGGGATCTGGAGAGACAGGAGTCTCGTGGGGTACCCAAGGGACACCCTGGGCAAGGCAGGACTGAACAGGGCTCCTCAGCGTCACCTGAAGGACTTTGATGCAGAAATCCCAGTGATCTGAGTGGGTCATCTGAGCACATCTGACCAATCTCACTGTACCTACTGTCAGCTTGGGGCCAAATCTCTACAAACACACTCAGAAATAAGGTGTTTAGGGAGGTGCCCAGGACATCCTCACGCCGTACACACAGAGCTGTCAGGATGTGACAAATGCCATAGATCCATAGAACTGTTAATACAGCTAAAAGCTGTGACACTTTCTCGTGAAACCTGTGGTTTGCTCTGTTCCTTGTGCTTCCATCAGCAAGTGAGCTGAGCAAAGACTCCTCATTGCTTTGTTCCAGGTGATAAAAGCATCCGCACAAACTTTCAAGGAGAAGCTGTAGATGTCAACGTTGGGTTGAGCACATATTACATGGAGTTTGAGAAGACTTTTATGAACACGTCAAACTGTAGAACCATGATCATTGAAAACAGGAGTAACGTCACAGCCCACTTCCAGTGGAAGACTTTTCTTACTGAGGAAGAAGAGAATGAAGAGAAGAAGAGGTTAGTTTGAAAAATGCATTTCAGTCAGATACATGGCCCAAGACTAAAACTAACATATGGCCTCAGGGGGGTGTTGGTGCTTTTAAATGGTTTAGGCCAAGTAAACCATCTCTGGCACTAGGGTGTGTGTCCTAGGCTTCAGGAGCTCAGCACTTAGCATTGCAGTTCCATGTCTATTCCAACCAAGGATGGCATTTTGGGAAGGAAAGGTTGATTGCAATTACTGGATTTCCTCAAATTCTAATTGAGCTTCTGCCTCTCTAATCTTCTTCCTATATGACCTGGCAACATCCTTAAACATTTCCTGAGTTGCCAGCCAGTTGCCAGTTGATGCACTCTCTTTTTTTCCCCTTAGTTCCTTCAAAAGCTCCCTGCCCATCCAGCTGGTTGTCTTCCCTGTCAGCTCGTTTTTCAGCACGCAAGGCTGAAAGGACAGGACAGTCTGTTCCTGTGCCTTCAAGACTTCTTTCTTGAAGTATGTCCATCTTTCCTGGTCCCCTTTGTTTTTAGGGGCTGTTTCCTAAGATACTCTCCAAACCAGTCTCTTGAACAGGCTGAAGTCTGCCCTCCAGAAGTCCAGAGTGGAAGTTTTGTTGATGCCCCTTCCTTGTTTCACCAAATATTGAGAACTCTATTATTTCATGGTCACTGCGCCCCAGAGACAGTGGTGAGCAGATGAAGTTCATTAGTTATTAGGGAATTTCCTGGTGCTATCTAGTTCCTAGACCCCAGGGAGGCAGCAGACTCCCCTGTGGAATGAATCCAGTTGATACACAGGGCTCTCAGTTCCCCTTACAGGGGAGTCACCTACTACCACTACCCTTCTTTTCTTCTTAATACTTGAGACTGTGATCTGTCTGACAGATGAAGAGCAGCTGGGAGACTTTCCAGACAGAGATTTTTCTTTAGTGCCATCTGCCTGACCCTCTGGATCTAGGGCGTCATACCTATTCTGTCAGGGCACCTGGGTAGGTGATGGGGGTCAGGATGGAATTTTATTATCTCCCTAGCAGAGACACATTTCCATTCCCCACCGTCTCCTAGGTGTCCTCCTTCTGCCTGATCACAAGAAGGGCAGAGCTCCTCAGACTCCAGTGAGCTTCTCTCAGGGTTGGAAGGGTGTAACTCCACCAGTTAATTTCTGTTTCACTCTCCCTAATGCTCCTCAGCCTTTGCACTTCTTCCTTGAGCTCTGCCACCAGACAGAGCAGATCATTCACCTGCTCACACTGCATGCAGGTGTCTCTTGCACTATCCTCTGATACTAACACCAGGCTCAGACCCTCCCTGCAGCCAGGG